GAGGGTTCAAGAGGTAATGCAGGTGATGGGGGGCATGGTTCAGGCAGTAATGTGAGTGATGGGGAGCAATGGAAACGGCAGATGAATCTTCATTCACTTGCCCGCCACTCACCTCCTGCTGTGTGGCCCAGTTCCTAACAGGCCACGGACCGGCACCGTTCCACAGCCCAGGACCATTCCACAGCCCAGGCGTTGGGGACCCCTGGGTTAGAGGATTCTTGGGTGTAGGTTTTTCCCTTTCATTGCTTTAAATAAAACATGCCACTCCCTTCTGGCCTGCAGGGTTTCTGCTAAAGGTCAGCTGACAGCCTTATGTGAGTTCCCTTGTATGTTATCTCTTGCTTTTCCCTTGCTGCTTTTAACAGTCTCTCTCTTTAATTTTTGTCATTTTAATCGCAATGTGTCTTGGTGTTTTCCTCTTTGGGTAAGTCCTGTATGGGACTCTCTGGGCCTCCTGGATTTGGATGCCTATTTCTTTTCCAAGTTAGGGAAGTTTTCAGCTATTATGTCTTCAGATATGTCCTCTGCCCCTTTCTCTCTCTCTTCTCCTTCTAGAACCCCTATACTGCAAATATTAGTACACTTGATGTTATCGCAGAGGTCTCTCAAACTGTCCTCATTTCTTTTCATTCTTCTTTTCTTTTTTCTGTTCAGCATCAGTGATTTTCACTACTCTGTCTTCTATTTTATATATGTTTTCCATAAAGCACCTTACATGAATTTTTATCCATTCTAAGAAGTTTCTGACTTGATTTTCTTAAGTTCTACAGGTAGTCAATCATATCAATTGCAAATAAGAATTCGTTTCCTCCTTTCCTGCTGTTTTAATTTTTCTTACTAAACTGGATAGAACTTCTAGAATAGGGATAGCAAATATGTTTCATATAGAGTCAATCCTTACCTACTGGTTGTCACAGTGAAACATTATGTTGGGAAGAATTCTAAGGGCACCTTTTTTGCTTTGCAGTAATACAGATAAAATCCTAGGAAGGTTCCAGAAGAACAGCTAAGGCCCACCAAGATAAAGGTCCTGAAGCTTTCTATTTTGCTGTTCACTCATCCATTTTTCTCTATTATTTGCCTCCTTCTGCTTCATTGGTTTTCCTTCTTCTGCCTTTTTGAGCTCAATACTCAGTTCATTTTCTTTTTGAAGCATTTAATGCTATGAACCTACCTCTATCACTCTGGCCGCACTATCTAAATTTTTACCCATATTGTTCATTATAGTTATTTTTTCTAATAAGTCTTTTTAAATGGCAATTCTGATATGGTTCTAGCTCAAGTTATTTAAAGAAACGTTTTTATGTTCCAGGCATTTGAGGCTTTTATTTACATTTTTATTATTAATCACTAGGGTTACTGTGATATTGTCAGCTACAGTGCTATGAATAATTTTAACTTTAATAATTCATCCTGGGTTTTTTTGTAGATTATATGCTGAATTTCTACTACTCTTCTCTGGATAAGGGATCACGTCATGAGTGAATATTTTCCTGTCATAATGTGGATAATGAGCCTCCTGTACAATAAAATCACAGTCTGCTAATGCTCCTTACCTTCCCAATAGTTAAATTAGATTCCCTGTTTCCTCTTGCTGCACCTCCCAGCTATCAGGTGCTCATCCATTCCTCCACAGCTACCTGTCCCTCTGCTCCTATGTGTTCCACTGGCAAACTGGGATTTTTTTTCCCCTTGGCACTAAAGTGGATTTTCAGTCCCTTGCCTCCAGTCTAATGATCATACCTGTATCCTAAGTTCCAGTCCTTCCCAGTCAACTTCTTTCTACTGAAGTTTACTTTTCAATAAACCAATTAATCACAAAATATACTATCAGGACAGAAGGAGAGACCCAATATCTTGGACTCCTGGGATACCTAAATTGTTTCCAATCCAAAATGATCAGATAATGAGTATTCTAGTTCCTCCAGCCCATAAATAAAAATGTTATTCTACAGAGTATGCTTCTTTGTTTGGACTTAAAATATTTCAGCACTGGTTTTTAAAAGCAAATATTAAACAGAGTAACTTTAATGCACATATTTTCTCTATTGCATTCAGCTTAATTTCCAATTTCATGTTTTTCCTTTCATCAATACATACCAGGCAACCAATTATGAAAAAAATAAGCTACACCTCACATTTAGAATTACTGAGGTTTGAAAGAATTTACCAGGACAATGCTGACTCTGAACTTTTCAACTTGGTTTTACACTTTTTATTCAGCCAAAAATAAAAGTTATACTGGTTTATTTTTTTTTTTAAATCAACAGAAGTCAGTACTGTGGTCAACTTATAAACACCTGCAATAACATACAAGAATTACTGAGTTTGCACAGTTATACCCATCGATTTCTACAGAAATATCAAATTGTCTATGGTCAAACATTCTGAGAAATTTAATAATATCTCTCTAACCTTGACAGTTTTTCAGGCAAAGTTGGGAATTAATCATCAAGATTATAGAATTCTTATGCTAGCTCTATCATGGAGCCCAGGGATCAGGATCAATTAGAATTTCTTTCATCACCCATTAACATACAAACTTATATTTGCCATTCAGAAATGATCTATAACTAAACACCCCAAAACTTTTAAATAACTCCAAGCCCAGAATGTCTATGGCAGTTAAGGAAAACAAAATTCCTTTAGAATCCAAGAAAAATTAAACTAAGACTAAGCTGCCATAATACTAAAATTTTTCAGGGAGCCATTTTTTTAAAGAATTACAGTATATACTATAAAAAGAGGCTTATTTTCCTATACAAGACGTAACCATTGGGAGAACCTGGGTAAAGAGTACATGGACTTCTCTACTATCTTTGCAACTTCCTATAAATCTATAGTTATTTCAAAACAAAAAGATTTTAGAAAAGGACTAACAGAAAAAAAGAAAAACTACTGATACAAATAACACATGAAAAAATCTCAAAACGTCATGTTAAATGGAAGAAGCTAGATACAAAAGACATGTATTATACAATTCCATTTATAAGAAATTTCTAGAAAATGAAATAATATAGCAAGAGAAAGCAATACTTGCCTGAGGCTGAGGCAGAGGGGTAGGAGTGGGAACTGACTGGAAAGGGGGACAAAGGAACTTTTTCGGGTGATTAAGTCTTCTAAAATTGGACTGTGGTGATAAACAGCCAAATTTACTAAAACCATATACACTTAAAATTGGTGAATACTCTGGTATGAAAATCATACCTCAATAAAGCTGTAGAAAAAGGGTTAACGGCAGAATCTAGGTGATGGATATACAGGTATTCATGTAAAATTCTTTTAACTCTGCTGTATGTTTGAATATTATAATAAAACATTGAGGAAAATTTAAGTTTTCATGAATGATACAATTAGAAATCAAAAAAAACTGCATTTCCCCTGGCAGCTCACAGATCAAGAAAGATTCAATAAAAAGATAAGTCAATAGCCTCCATTCAGTGGTATGATCCCACATCCCACACATGCCACACTGAAGCCCTTGCTTCAAATGTGTTTGAATGAAGGGTCTGGATTCTAATCCCTGATCAAAGCTGTCTGTCTGGACACTGTTCCAAGAATCCACAAGCTGCTGCTGAGGGCAGCTGTTTATTCATTCAGGCACAGAATGGAAACCCAAGCACAAATATCTTACATGTTTTAATCACCACATGGAGAAAATTCAGGCTTCAGTTTTCTGTAAATTGTAGTGTTAGCAATATCAAAGTAACCAAGAAACAAAAACCTCACTCAGAGTTTTTACTTAAGAATTATAACTTTTCCACAAAAAAATTCCCCATGAGGTTCTTTAAATGGAAAAAGAACCAAATGTGGTTTGTATATGTTAACATCATCTTCCCTTAATTAAACTCAAATCCACCAAAACCTAAGCATCTTATTCAACAATCAGTAACAAATATTAGACTTAGGCAGAAAAAGATAAGAAACTGAAATTGTGAAACTATAAAGAGTAATATATTTGTGGAGAACATCTTTTGCATTTATACCACTTTCTAAGATTCCTATTTTTATTACTAGTACTAAATTTATGCATATCCCAATTTCAAAGAGGAAAGTAGTCTCACTAGGCCTTAAAAATGAAAATGAAGGTGCTTTTAAATCTCCACAGATGTATATCTAAAGAGAAACAGATATTGTCATATAATACTCAATTTATTTTTTTAAATAGCCAAATTTTATACCAAAAGTGTACTCCTCTTTACAAACTTCAAAGGGAGTGTGTATATTTGGCACATTTATTAGGACAGTATAAACCTGTAAATAAAAATGTCAAAAATTATTAGACTTAAGCTGGGTGTTTCTAATTTGTTATTTTTCTAATTCCCTACTATACTTAATTAAGAGGGGGCATTATACTTACCACATATCCCGCCCCACAAAGCAGGAGGAATATAAGTGTTGAATGTGGATAGTCAGAAGAGATGTTTGCAAAATGAACTTTACATTATACACGCTTGCCCCTTTTAAACTCTTAAGATGAGTGTGAGGAAGGGGGACGACAAGTGCTTTATCTATTACTGAAGCTTAAGGCTTACAATAATTACGATTAGTAAATAATATGAATTCTATAAGTGCTAAGAAATGAAATATAAGATACAGATTAGTCTGTTTCACCAACACTATGATTATGTAAATAATCACATGAGAACTAAGTCAAGAACTTACCTTTGTGCTGGCCACCCCGATCTCAGGCCCAGCATTGATGTGAACTCCACAGTCTGTCTCTCTTGATATGGAACTGCCAACCGTGTTTGTGATCCCGACAGTTAAAGCTCCTCTCTCCTTGCAGTACCGAAGACCCATCAGGGTATCTGCTGTCTCGCCTGGGTAAAAAGGAAGACAAAAGTCACACACAGAGCAGTCAATATATGCTGTTTTTTAGATGCAAAAACAGAAAACTGACTACTCTTTCAACAATATCATTTGTTTTATTATTATTTTTTAACTGAAGTATAGTTGATTTACAGTGTTTCAGTTGTACATCAAAGTGATTCAGTTATACATATGTATTTTTTTCAGATTCTTTTCCATTATACGTTATTACAAGATACTGAGTATAGTTCCCTGTGCCATACAGTAGGTCCTTGTTGTTTATTTTATATATAGTAGTGTGTATCTGTTAATCCTAAATTCCCAATTCGTAGCTCCCTCCCTTTCCCCCTCATTTGTTTTAAATAAAATTTAAAACATGTACTTAAAAGAATAAATTTGTAAAACTTTTAATAATAGGATCCGACTTCTTAGGATCGTCTTTCCTTCTTTGTCTTTAAAAATTCAGCTCTTCTGAGTGTAAAATGTGTTCATTTTACTAACTCATTAAGAATTCCATAACATCAAAATAAACCTATATTTGTCAAGTTATCTGCAATAACCAGTTTATCTTTAAATATCAGTTTTTCCAACATATGCTATAGTTGTTAGAAAGAATGACTTTCCTTTTCTTTAAGTCTTTAAAATTAGCATACCTGACTGACTAATGAAAAAGCAAACATCATCTCGAAAAACTGGGGTGTTTCTATCCAGGAAATCACTGGCTAGCTCCACCATAACAGGCAACTCAGTCAGCTCTTCAAGAACTTGACGTGTCTGCAGAGAAAAGATGACTTGGTCATACAACTTTACATCAAATACTCTTTCTCACTGGACTTCCTCAGACTCAATGTATAGTTTTCACTTTTTCTGATTATAAAAATGATACATAATGCAATGTTAGAAAATACAAACAACTGAGATTAAAGCATAAAAAAATAAAATAACCAAAATCCCACCACCCAGGAGATAAGCACTGTTAATATTTTAGCACAAGTCTCTTTAGACAATTATCAAAGCATGTATAAATAAATGCATGTATAAAATGTTTTGAGAAGTGGAAAAAGCACTGTTCTGAGTTAGCTTGTATATTAACTCTAACTTCCCAATTCCTAATCTTTACATGACAATTCATATAATACCAAATCACTGAGAATTTCAAATGAGATGATAACAGATGTATCATAAACACTGAATGAAAAATGAAACATTTCAGAAATACTATGTATTCATAAAGAATGCTGTTTCTCAAAAAAAGTCAATATACTTTAAAAATCTTGTTTACGAAAGCTCACTATTTTCAAACTCTGTAGTATGGAGGGTAGAGTAGGGGGTAGATAACCTAGCTAGAATTAATTCAAGGACACTATTTTGTATGCTAAATCACACAGGATTTCTAATATTTGTTTGTTAACTACAGTAGTCTCAGCATCCACCAGAAAACCCAAAGCAAAACAAAACCCTTACATCTTCTCAAATTAGAGAATTCTAACACAGCATACATATAATTTATGCCCCACAATTCAGGCTTAGCATTGGATGAAACATTTAATCAAATTTTGTATTTCTGAATAGAGGGCTCATTCAATAATAGATCTAAGCCACCACTAAATTAGGCAATCCCTTAATTTACACTAATGTCTTTAATTCATTCTTTTTTTTTTTCCAGTGCTCAAAACAATCACTTTCTAACAACTCTTCCCTTCAAAATTGCACAGATTTTCCTTTTTAGGACAATGTAATTTGGGGCGGGGGGTGGGGAGGGGCGGGAGAAGGGGGTGCTTTAGAGAAGAAGAAAGCCTACTGAGATGCAAGGGTTGAGTGACCAGCTAGTTTCACTCACTCCTCAAATGAATGGCTCCCACAAGTGTAGATAATTAATATTTATGCCCCAGCAAATAAAAGAATTACTGTCATGAACTTTGGAAATCAATCCTAAAAGTAGAAACTGAGTGTGTAAGGGTTTTCTGTACTTACAGGAGTTGACATCAATAGCACATAACCTGTCTCTTTATAAGGGAAACTACATGTGGATCTGATTTATTGGACTAAAAGACTGTTAAATTCCTAGGCTTCTATATTGACAACCAACACACATCTTTGATACAGAATTTCAGCTTCCAAAATAACAATTTAAAGAACAAAGTCTATCAAAAAGAAGACTTCCTTTCTTTGCAGAAATGGGCCTACCTAGTAAAATCCTGTTGAGGTTCACACAGCCATCTGTCTGGGGCAAGTGAACAATGATACACAAAACCCAGTGATGGCTCTAACGGAAGCAGGCATGCGCTGTGGACTGCAAGGCCAGGATGGCATAAGAACTTTTCCACTCTTTGCCTTTCATGAAGTTAGTTGCAGGCAGTCTACCTGTATATCTAAGGACCTTTCTAAAGCAGATGATCCATTGATAAACAATTCCAAGTAGCTATTAAAATTTCTCTCCCCAACCTTCTTGATTTTTGCCATCACAACATGAAAACAAAACACGATGTTTTAACAAAAAATAGTTTGACATGGTGTGTTACTGGAGATACTGTTTATCTGCAGATATCTTCTAATACCCAAAATGACACAACTAAAATTTTAAGAAGCCACTTACTGCTACACCAGCATGATAACTTGTTCCACAAGCGATAAGAATCAAACGCCGGCACCTCTGGATCTCCTTAATGTGATCCTTCAGACCGCCCAAATTCACTGAAATAAAAGTTTGTGGATATAATTATTTAGGAAAGAACCATATGAAACAGGTAATCGCTTTATCATGAGTGGCCAGTGCCAATCTGGGAAACAACACTGCTGTTTTAAAGCATTCACATTCCTCTTAGGAAGCACAGTTCTCTCTCGTTTTGAAATGTAAACTAAGTAATAAGTCTGAACTTAACTGGCCACCCCCAACTTGTAATTAACCTTCCTCACCCCCTGACACGCCTACACAACTACAGTATCTACCACATCCTACCTTGTTCGGTCATTTTTACATTCCTCTCTTCAGATTAAAAGGTTATCTTAAAGGTAGAACTATAGGGACACGGACAATAGATCAGTAGATGCTGGTGGCTGGAGGTGGGGAAAGGGCTGACTACAAAGGGGCTTGGGGAAATTTTTCCGGTGAAGGATCTGTGCTAACTCTTGATTGTTGTACAGGTTGTTTAGGATTATGACCATGTTGTGGAAGTTGGTCAAAACTCGCTGAATTATACATTAAGAACAGTCAATTTTATTATACCTAATTATATCTCAGTAAGCCTGCTTGGGAAAAAAATTGTCTTAGTTGTGTTCACCTCCATTACATGCCCAGAACAGTGCTCTGAACACAATATAAACCACTCTCCTCTCAGTCTTTCCCATCTCAGTCAATGCCACCCCATTCACCTAAAGGCAGGGTCATCCATCCTTGGTTGCTCAACAGCGACTGCACAAGCAAGTCCTGTGAGCCCCACCTTCAAACTGTACCTCTAACACCATCAGCCAAGTCCAACATCCCTCCCCTGGACAAGAGCCGTACTCTCCTAACTTCTATTCTCTACCTCCTAGAGCCTGTTCTCCACACACAGCAAGAATGATCTTTTAGAGGGATTCTTTAAAAACATAAATCTGATCACAAAACCCTCCAATGAGTCTGTCCTCTTTCTGTCTCTATAGCCATGTATGTGTTCTGCTAAGGGTGCCTTGTCTATGGGTCCTTCTACACATGGCTAGTTTTCTACCTGTGAGAAATTTTCATCCAACATTCATTCAATTATTCAACTAATATTCTGAGCACCTACCAAGTGAATACACTGTCCAAGGCACTGTGTGGCTACCAGACAGTTCAGCGTCTGGCTGATAAGAGCAATGAGCATGCCCGTGGGCAGCATCCATCTCCATCTGACCCACCGTCGGTCTGTCTACTCTGCCCCTGCTCTTTATCTCCTCCACTCTTTTCTTCTACCTTAACTAGTTACAAAACGGAACCAAGGTATACGTTTTGCTTTTTATATTTTTGAATAGTTTACGTTCTTCCTTTTAAATTTCAATACTGAGAGGGCCGATTATATTTCTCTATTTTAAGAAACTAGTTATGGGGGCTTCCCTGGTGGCGCAGTGGTTGACAGCCCGCCTGCCGATGCAGGGGACACGGGTTCGTGCCCCGGTCCGGGAAGATCCCACATGCCGCGGAGCGGCTGGGCCCGTGAGCCATGGCCGCTGAGCCTGCGCGTCCGGAGCCTGTGCTCCGCAGCGGGAGAGGCCACAGCAGTGAGAGGCCCACGTACCGCAAAAAAAAAAAAAAAAAAAAGAAACTAGCTAAGTACAAAATAAAACAACGAAAAGCTTCACTGGCTTCCCAAGTAACTTTGGAATGAAGTCCAAACTCCTTACATGGCCTTCAAGTGGCCACAAGCCCTGCCTCCTGCTTCACTCTGACCTAATCTCCTAGCACTTCTCTCACCCAGGCCACCCCAGCCAGACTGGCATTCTGGCTGTTCCTTTTCGTGTATCTCTGTCTCAGACCTCGGCATGTATTGAAAAGACTTGAGGGAAAAGGAAACAACATTAAGAGGCTGGGTAGGGAGTCACGCAAAGGCAAATCAGTTTGGAGATGACTAAGTATAAAGTAGACAGACTATCAGAGAGACTTTTATTTCAGATGATGACCAAGAAGGACAGGGAGGTTAGATAGTGAGATTAGCTGGTCACAAGCATTTCCCTAAAATTAGTCCTAGCAAATTCCCTGATGGCCGAGGGGCGTTTGGGATAGTTCTGGGAGGAGTCGCCCATGGTCTGAATTGATGCTTTGGAGAGGCTCCTACTTCTGGTAAGGGAGACCACTACTACAGCAGGAGTGTCTGGAGGAAAGGGGTGGGATGGAGCGTGAACACCACTGAACACTGGAGGCTAGTCTCGCTCCGTTAAATAACTGGCGGTGTGACCTTTGGCCAGACCGCAAACTGACAGAGCCTCAAATTCCTTATCTTAACAACAAAAAAAGATAACGGCTATCCTGTTTATATTATAGAACTTTTATGAGGAACACATACCATAGATAAAAGTGCTTTTTAAAATCATGACTTTTCAAAGTTTATCTCCTTCTTTTCCCTTATAAAACAAAACTTTTTCCTAATCTTATTTCCATTCCATACCATAACAGTATTTACTGCTACTCTCCCCGTTCTTCCAGTTCAACCACCTTCCACAACCCCCTCTCCCACACCAGCAGATAACAGGTCCTGCTCTGGAGTGCTCCTGTTTCTCTCCTGGCCCCCCGCTGCCCTCCCATTCCCCATGGCTTTACCCCAGATGGGACAACATCCTTACTGGCGACTGCATCTCAGCCTCTCGCTCCTCCAATGCACACTGGAGACTGGTACCCAGGTCACTTCAGTAAAGCTCCGATCACCCCTGGCTCCTAAGTCTCCTAACAGCTCTGCAATTTCTACAAAGGGAGGTACCCTTCACACTCAACAGAATGCGTTCACGGCCCTCCTGGGCAGTTCCTCTCACCTTCTTCCCTAGACTTACTGCTCTCTAGTACTAGATGTGGCAGGCAAACTGGACTACATATTATTTCACAAACAAATTTCTGATGGTTTTCTACTATCTCCTCTTAGCAAATGCATTCTACCCAACTGCAGTGCTCCCATCTCATCTTTACCTATTCAAACCTTCCAAATCCTTTAAAGCACCACCTGCCTACTTCATGGAGCCTTCCCTGGCCCCCTGTCCACAAACAGATTCATTCTCTACTTTCTCTAAATTCAACACTAAACTTTAAACATTTCAACATTAAACTGTGTTTCTAATGTCATTTATCATATTTTACCTTTCTTTAAATAGTTAATTATGTATTCATCCCCCTTCTAAGAACCTCAAGGGGGAGACCACAGCAGAGATAACTTTCCTACAGTCCCTGATACGTTCAGCATGGTGCTCCACACACCATGTTCACCAGATGTTCAACTTATAATTCAGCCTTCAACAAATTTCACCTGCTGAGAAAGAGTCTGATGCCTCCAGAAAAGAAAAGTATACAAAAACCGCATTTATTCAGAGAAGCATTCTCTATCAGTTAGCAGGACGTGACATAAAAGAGAAAGCACTTAATATTATATGTATAACATAACAAATTCAGGAAAAGATTGTTGCATACCAGATATAATTTCTCCAAAACTGATTCCTAACACTGAGAAGCTTAGCCCAAAGCTTGTCTGTTAAACTGTTTATTAAACTGGTCATGAAGAATGTTCCAAAAATGTGATTTAGCGATAGTTTATGGATATCCTATGACCACAGAAAGTCAATCTCAAGCTCATCCCAGCAAGGTGCAGAAACTCCTGCAACACAAGGTCTAGAGAGAACTTCCAGAAGTAAGACCAGAGCTGCACTGTCACCCCAACTTAAACAGGCAGGAAGGTACAGGTTAGGTTATCCCATAAGGCATTAGGCAAACACCTGGAAAACCTCTGGGAAGTTCACACTTCACTCATTTATAAACTGAGAGAGAAAACCTAGGCTGAACAGATACAGCAAGCTTCCCAACAAGGGGACCAGGTCCCATTCTTCTGAGAATTCACAGTGTTCAAAACAGTCCCTGGTACATAGTAGGTACCCAATAAAAGATTTTTGTACTGAAAAGAAGTTAAATGTTCTTAATGGTACACTGAAGGACTTTTTTTTTTCTCCAGGAAAATCACCTTAATAGTCCCATAACTGACAACAATTTTCAAATGTGACTTCCTAGGCATTTTTTATATTTTTCATAACCATTTTAGAGGTATGTCACTTACCATAAAATTCACCCTTTGACAGTGTATGATTGTGGTGTTTAGTATTTCAGAGTTGTGCAACCATTACCACTATCTAACTTTAGACTTTCATCACCTCCAAAACACCCGTATCCATTAGCAGTCACTCTCCACTCCCCTGTCCCTTCAGCGCCTGGCAACCATTATTATTATTCCCTTATTTTTTATGGTGGTAAAATATACATAACATAAAATTTACCATTTTAACTATTTGTAAGTGTACAATTCAGTGGTATTAAGCACATTCACATTGTTGTGCAATCATGACCATCACCCATCTCAGAACTTTGGCATCGTCCCAAACTGAAGCTCTATACCCGTTAAACACTAACTCCCCATTTCCCCCTCTCCCCAGCCCCTGGTGACCACTAATCTACCTTCTGTCTCTACAAATCTAACTAACCTAGATACACCTCATATCAGTGGAATCACACACGGAAGGACTTTTAAAAGAGGACTGGGCTCCACTGATGGCTGGCAGCCATAGTTATTCTACAAAGGACAATGAACCCTATAAGGCTGTCAACGTCAACCCCCATGAGAGACTTTGAAATAATAACATAATTCACATGTAATTACCAGTATAGTCATCAAAGTTGACTCTTCCTCTCATTGTGTTCACAACTGACTCTGGCTGCTCAAAAATTTCCTTCTGCATAAATGAACTGAAGTTGCCTAAAGTAATATAAATTGTATCATTAAAACAAAAATTAACAAGCCAAAGGGTAAGAAATTTGTATTCAACTAAAAGTCTATCTCCTTCAATATAATCTTAGTAAGGTCATGCAGTAGAGAACAATATTCATATATGACATTTTACCCAATGGGGAGAAAAATGAACACGGAGGAAAAATACTTTTATTAACTTCATACCTAAAATATGCAATTATAGAAAAACAGGGGAGTGGGACAAGCTTAAGTTTTAGAGTCAGATCTAGGTTTAAATCATGATTCTATCTTTTAATAGCTAAGCAGCTCTGGGAAATTCCTTAATCTGTAAAATGATCTGTTCTAGCAGCTATTTCATAGCGTGGTAGTGTGGATTAATACAGTAAAGACTTGACATATAGCCATTATGCAATAAACGTTAGCTTGTTTTTCACCACAATCCCATCAGAAAGGACATTAAAAACCAAAATCACCATAATCACAATAGTTAATAGTAGCAAACATTATATAGAGCTCACTAAGCATGTCAGACACTGTTGTAAGGGCTTAATCCCCAAAACAACCTTAATGAGGTAAATCCTATTATCCCCATTTCATATATGAGAAAACTGAGGCACAGAGAGAATAAGAGAGGAACAAAGAATAGAACACAAACTATGTTTATAAAGTATCTTAAAACATCAAGTACCACTTAAACAACTGATTTCTTTTTTCATGTTAGAAACAAGAAACCATGAATTTGTTTGAAGAAGTATTGTCAAAACAGCAGACAATTTCTCCAAAGAATCATCCCCCTTCCTGGGGTTATCCCTTCACTAATCTGTATTATCAGATTCCTACACCAGGTCAGGAAGGAGAAAATATCCTTTCCATCGAGGACACCAAGGTGTAACAGGATAGAAAGGTTCACCCTTCATGATCTGCTGGAGTTCCATCTGGAGGGTCTGTACAGCTCGTCCAGGGTGATCTCCCGCAGTCCGTTTAATTCGATGGATAGAAAGACGGCCATCCACCACTGCAGCGACATCATCATCCTCGAGAAAGATGACACGATTGGTGTGTTCTATGACAGCACTAAAAATGTTCAAGGAGACAGTACAATCAATAATCTAGGATGATTATTATAAACACAACTATCATTAGGACAAAAGGACCAAGTTTAAATACAAAGTCTATCAACCTGCAATATCTCTGATAACTTTCTGGTTATCAATGCCATTCCCTACAGGGAAATGAAGGAGGGGGGGTGGTCACTGCAGACAATGAAGAAAAGGAACTCTGTGTGGCAACCAATTTGATGAGATCAGATGAGAAAGCATGCTTATTTCCTCTTCATCCTACCTATCACCAGTCCTAAAATCATAACTCCTAAATATTTCCCAAAGCTTCTCTCTGTGTCCACCACCACAAACCAGTTCAAGCTACCATCAGCCCTTGGCTGAACTACTGCAGGAACCTCCCAACTTCCACCCACATTCCCTCTAACCTCCCTCATCCACTCTCCTTTTCTGCCAAAATGGACATCAAAAGACAACCCTAATCAAGATTTCTCCCTCACCAACACACCGCTCAACAGCTTCCCTTTAGCTCTTAGGAAAACAGCAAAATGCCTTCACCATGACCCCTACACCTCTTTCTCTGGCCTTGTCTCCCACCAAACTTCCTCTCCCTATTCCAGCCACACTCACACCCAGCCCAAGATCTCACAGGCTGATCCATCTGCAGAGAATGACTGTTCTTCCCTCCACCTCCTTACCTAATTAACTCCTAATATCTCCTTAACTCTCAGTTCAAGCACCATTCCCTTAAAGAAATGCACCCATAGGAGGGTTAAGTCACCCTGTTATAAGCATTCTGTAGTTCGTGTCACAGCTGGAATTCTATACTTGGTGACCACTGACTAAAATTTGTCTCTCCCATTAAGGAAGAGCTCCTTAAGGACAAGTAACATTTTTATTCTTACCCGCCATTATCTCCTGAGCCGAGCACATGGCTTTGCTGGAATGTTCAATATGAATGCATGAGTGAATGAAAGAGGGAGACACTTCTGCAACTTCCAGATTACTTAAGCCAAACTGTCAACTCTGTAACAAACCTACCTAATGACAGCAATGACACATCTCAGCACCAACTACGTACCCTACACACCTGTAAAATTTAGACAACAGGAAAGCTTGTTTTCTCACTGAGATAATACATCCCCTGCAGTCGTGAACTGCATGCTCATTCATTTTTAGATCCCCTTACTTTCAGGCACAATGAATGATTCAAATAGCTGTTGGCGATTTGAGTGATTCCATTTTATCCTCATTACTATTCGAATTTCATTTATAAATGCCTCTAAGCATCCCCACTGCATTTTCTCTCAAAATGTCCTAGTCTAATACTATTTCCTATATAAAAGTGATTCTGCTGCCAAATACTTCTGAATTAAAAAGATATGTCCACGTTGGATTAAAACTACAATATAGGTTAGCAATTATACTATAATTGGTATGCTCCTAAGCCATTCTACTCTCCAATCTAAAATCTCTCCTTCCTATAAAACCTGGGTTAAGGCTCTTAAAAGAAGAGGAAAAAAAAACCACGAGCTCAGAGTAAATACACCGGAACAAGTCTCAAGGACTTATCTCCTTTGTACACTGACCTACATACTTTGAATTGAGAGCAAAAACGTTCTAGAACACCATCTCCAAAAAGGTCACCTTCACATCCTTAATTAACAAAGTTCTCCTCTACAGCATGACTAGATATATACAAAATGACTTCTTGGTTTCTTGTAGCATGAACAGTTTTACTAAGAATTCTCTCTGAATCAACCAAGGAAGCTCACCTTGCATCAGAAGCAAAGTAATACTCCACTGCTTTTTCTTCAACGGGGAAAAGGCAAGTTGTGCTGTCCACACGAGAGAGATTACAGCTTCCTTTCTTATCTTTGCCTATATTATAGAGTTAACAGAATCAGCACACATGTAGAAAACCATGGCTGATACAGAAATATACATAATTTTCTACAAAATCAACAAAAAACCATAGCAATGCATAATAATTCCAGCAACTTTTCAATGCCAGGTAGATCACCCTATTTCCATGCAATAAGCCAACAAGAACAACGGGCATAGAGAGAAAGAGCAACTATTAAGGACAGCGTGGCAGATACAGTGCTGTGTTATACGTTCTTTAATGTAATATTTCTTTTCCAAGTAAAAGGCAAATATTTAATGTCACTAAGTCTTTTTTTAATTTATGTATAGCCTAATTTTAATTTAACTTCATATAAAACTTAATGAAATTAATACATATAAGTTTGCATACTTAAACTTATAATTAAAGTTACATTAAAAATATCAAAACTGTGCAGTGAAAAATAAAATGAAGCCTAGTGGCATATTTTTATTATCTCCTAACAAAACTTCTCTCGATTTTAACAGTAAGTCAGCATAACAAGTCAAAGTTCAGGCTACACTAATTCTGATCTAAAAACAAAACAAAGATACTTATAAGTCTCTAACCATGGTATATCATACATGGCAGCTACTGCTAAGGACTGGAACTATAAACCCAGAACCTCTCCTTTCTTGAAATTGGATTTTCTTACATTACTTTCATGTCAGAATAAAGTACAGTCCTTTTGCAATGATAATATCTTTTACTTCTAGCACTTTAGAATTCTGGCATTTCTACTTAATTTGTCAAGCTATTGATGAAGAACTTTTTTCCTCTCTGCTTATTCACAACTGAAGTCAAAACTAGAAGGCATAATGAAGTTTGACAAATTTGCCAAATACAGAAAATACTATTAACTGAAGGCTATATAAATGTCACAGAGACAAAAAAGCACCTTTCTCTAAGATCAGGTCATAGTGGACCTTGTAACCAATGGATACAATGGCCAGAGGACACCATAAATATACTTGTAAAAACTCATATTGTGTCCATCCTCTAAAATGCATGTCTATAAAAACTTGATAGTAATTATTCTTAGTAACATACATTCAAAGTTCTCCACAATCCATGATTATTTGGTGTGTTTTAGGCATGAAAGTAAAATAGCTCTTTCCATCCAAATTCAATAGCAGAAAAGATACCACACTTTGAAAAACAAGTATAAGATGACATCCCAGAGAAGATAACACTATAAAAAGATAAAACAGATCAGTGTTTGCCAGGGGCTGGGTGTGGGGACAAGGGTTGACTACAGAGGGTCAGCTGAGGGAACTTTTTCGGGGATAAATTGTTCTTTATCTTGATTGTGGAGGTGATTATACAACTTTATGCGCTTGACAGAACCCATGAAATTGTACATCAAAAAGAGTGAACTTTACTGTATGTAAAAAGGTGAATTAAAAAACAGGCAAAAGGATAGGCCAGCACCTACATTTAAAAATTTTTAAATACAAACTACCTTTGGTTATAAAATGTCCTACTGGAGCTGAGTTTCACCATATTCTTTCTACAAATATTGGTTATTTCCTTCTTCAAGTAACAGGGTATATTTAAATACAATATTCAGAAGAATTCAAGGTATCACTGCCTAATTAAATGAAAAAAATATTACCACTTGACATCTATATGACTGTTACAATCTGTAAAATGTCTTCCCATCTATTGTTTATCTCCTCTGATTTCACTTAAGTGGAAACGATTATTATCATCCTGCTTTATTTGGTCAGTAGTTACACCTGGAGAAAACAGCAAATGCTTGAAAGCCAGTCCAGTGTTTTCCCCTTTATACAGCCTCTTCAATAAAAGGCTGTACTTTTTAAACTAAACTCTGCTGAGCCATACATTATCTACCTACTAGGAGCTAGAGAAATCAGGGTTACTAAAACACAACCCCTGATCTCAAAAAGATGTCTCACGATAAGTTTTTCTTCCAACTTCTTAAGACCTTAGCCAGTGTTTTTCCATTGCTTCTAAAAGCAGCCTAAGACATTGTACAAGGTAATATATCACATAAGTAATATATACATAAGCAGAATTATTAACAGAAATCTGGAACTCTGGATCCAAAATTTATACTGGTAGGCTAGTTTTTTTTCTGAAAAGAGAGGGAGGGGGGGGAGGAAAATAAGTTCTAACATCTCAGGACTGAAGGTTATTTAAGGAAATAACTTTTGCTCTAGGTAAAACAGTGAAAGCAGCTACTATCTAAAGATGAATAGGTTTAGGGTACTTTGCTACATCTTTTTCAAGAAATCAAGAACTATGCATTAATAATATGGGTTTCAATTTCCTGAATTTACCATTCCCTGTGTCTTTTACGGAGAGAGCTTTTAGTAAAAAAGTACACAAAAATAACACACCATTTTTGTCTAATTATATCAATAAAATGATCCAGTTTGTACAGCTAAAAAGATAAACTTCAAATGTAAATTTTAAAAAAACTCCAAATTCAAACAAAGCCCATCAGGTATCAAATGTAAAAATATAAATGTAAAATGTCATGCATAAAACAAAATCCATTTAAACATATTTCAGTTAAAAATTAGGCTAGCGGAGCGGCTGGGCCCATGAGCCATGGCCGCTGAGCCTGCGTGTCCGGAGCCTGTGCTCCGCAATGGGAGAGGCCACAGCAGTGAGAGGCCCGCGTACCGCAAAAAAAAAAAAAAAAAATTAGGCTAAATTATTCAAATAACTACCACAGAGGTCAATCTACAATAGCCTAGCACGCAAACACAATGCTCTTTTCCTAATCTCAGCATCTTATTTATAATAGTGCAGCCTACATGGTTTTACTTTAAAACAAAGGAAAAAACTTTAAAATTTCAACTATTTCCTCAAATCTCAGAGATCTTAAAGAAACAAATTATTAAAAGCAGTTTTCTAAATGCCAAAAGCAGACAGACAAAATACACTCCCACAAATTAGAAAAATAATGTCAAAATATGTTTCCCCATAAAATAAGCATATTTTTAGAGGCCCAGCACAGTCATTCACTCCAAGAACAAAGAATTAGTAAAGAATGAACAAAAGAGGATAAGATTCCTCCCCATCATGCAGAGTGCATTTCCCACCTCTTTCTCCCTGTGATCCCCACCATGTGAATTTTGATCCAATCTGAGTCCTAGCTAAGGATATACAACAGAAAAAAATTCTACTCGTCAGAGAAATCACAAAAACAAATTCTTTTCATGTCTAGACAGAACTATATATATGAGTGGATCTGACCAAAGGGGCATTTAATCAATTTTAGGAAAACAATTCTTTGTAACTACTGCACTCAATTTATACATTTTTCCCATGGCATGATGTGGGAATAGTTTTTACCTGTTCTGTAGAGGATTGGAATGTGATCAGTAGATAGTTTATGTTCACTTCGTACACCAATCAACAAAGGGCTACCTCGTCTGTTAGTACAGAATTAAACAGAATTAAGCCATTTTTATAAGTAATGCACTAATGATACAAAATTTAAATGATGAGGGAACCTCTGCAAATAATGTTTAAACTCTCCCTCCAAGTTCGACTTCAGATATAACAAAAGAACGACATAAACAGAGTTTTTAAAAAATATTCAGAGGTCAGCCAACTATGACGCACAGGCCAGGTTTGTCTATTTTTACTGGAACACAGCCATGCCCTTTCTTCTACACATTTTCTACAACCGCTTTCACACTACGACAGCAAAACTAAGTGGTTGCCACAGAGGCAACATAGCCCAGAAAGCCTAAAATATTTACTATCTGGCCTGTTACAGAAAAAGTTTGCAGACCCCTATTCTATAGTGATGCATTAGAAAGTTTTCTCCTTTTTAATGTAAAATGGAACCTTTCTTTTGATGTGTGAACAATATATGAACATTAGTCCCCTTGACTTCATTTTAAAGACAGCTCTCTCTCTTACCAACTCTTAGGGTTCCACACTGTTCTAAAAAGGACTTCATGATTAGGCTTGAATATCCCAGCAAAAGTAGTAATGGTACTATTATCTAGGACTCTGTCTAGAATATAGATTTCTGAAAAATATGGATATTTTACAAAATATTCAACATCCAAATTCACAAAGTAACAATGGTGCCCCACTACAAACAAAAGGCCAATTATAAATGCCAAAATGTTTTTGCTTTGTTAAGGGATTCTGTTACATGGAATAGTGGTAAAACAACAGACAAGAAGGGCATATGAAAATAAATATAGTCGACCTCCCATATGCATGGGTTCCACATCTGCAGATTCAACCAACTGCAGATTGAAAATATTCGGGGAAAAAAAATTCCAGAAAGTTCCAAAAAGCAAAACTTGAATTTGCCACACACTGGCAACTATTTACACACTACCATTTGCATTGTATTTACAACTATGTATATAACATTTACATTACATTAGGGTATGCAAGTAATCTAGAGATGACTTAAAGTGTACAGGAGTATGTATCTAGGTTATAAGCAAACACTACCCCACTTTATATAGGGGACTTGCACATCCATGGATTTTGGTATTCACGGGAGCTCCTGGAACCAATCCCCCATGGATACCAAGGGATGACTCACACAAATATCTCTAAAAAAGGACAGAGCCGTTATGGTGAAGGGCCATTCATAGTGTACAGGGAATAAGCTTATAATTCTAAAGTTTCAAAATACATATAATTATTAGTCATTATTAAATTTATATATACCTTGTGCCTACTGCTTGGCCAGGAAAATGAACACTTTTAAATACAAGTGCAAAAGCACCTTCCTATAGAGGGAAAAAAAATGCATTAGCAATATATATTATAATCAATTATCAAATGCGAAATGCCTAAAATATACTGGCTTCAGCACAGAAATGTTTTGTTCACACAGCTACTCTTTTGCACTAGTTTATAAATGAGTCTGAATTTTAGGCAGACACTTACTCCTGAGCTTTGATGTATCCAAGATCCACTTTTTAACCAAGTCCACTCTTGAAATAGGCTCAGTAGATAATAGCTCCTAAACAGACCATTTTAAAAGACACCTTTGTACACGCTACCAATACTTCTCAATAGGTACATCATAGCTCCCATACTATGCATTAGTAAGGGAAGGGCAAAATCGGAAAAGATCCCAAGCTCCATATCCAAAACCCATTCTCTGGCCCAGTAATTTTATACCACTGTTAACTTCCATTCTTTTTGTCCTTGATATTGGAGACATAAATATACACAATCACAATTATTAACATGCACACCATACCGCCCCCTCAACCCAAACTCCTCAGGGACAGGGCCTAAGGAAATCAAGAATGAATAAAGGAGGAACATAAGGTAGGAGAAGGAAGGAACAGAAAAAAACTGAGTTATACGAGTAGAAACAAGAAAAGGCTGGGAAGGCACACTACTCTGCCTTGAGTAAAGAGAAGGAACAGTACTCTATCTTCTCTACCTTCCTGACTCCTTTAGCTGCAGACATCATAAGATTTGGGTGGAGATGGGAGGTAAGGGTTGGACCTTCATAGAGAAGTAAAGGGCTTTTAAATGGGAAAGCCAGAGTTATGAGTGGGATTGGGGCAGGGGGAGGCGGGGGTGGAAGTCACTATGTATTTGGACCTTTGTGTATCTTTGATATCTTTAATCTTTAATTAGGACAACTGGGATGAGATCAAAAACAATACCACTTTTCTCTCGGGTTGGGAAATAATTTTCTGTAGAGGTACAGGGCCAAGGAAAAGTCCCCATAAGGAAAAATGAGTTGACTGTACTCGCTGAGAGACATGCAGCCATTATCCCAGAATAAAGAGTGTGTATTTCACCGAAGCTACCCTTCGCTAAGTTATTGACTAGAAGAAAACTTGGATGAGCAGGAAGCAAGAAAGTGATGAATCCCCAACTCTGTGTACTGTGTACACGTTTGTGTGTGGTGTGTATGCGTTTATGTGTGTGTATGCATAGTTCTTGGGCAAATTGCTTTTGGATTATTTTTAGTTCCCATGACACTAAACTACAGTGAAAGAAGTAAAATCACTAGAACAACAGTCTCTCAAAATTATTCAAGTTGAATAGTTATATACATGGGAAATAAAAGCAAAAAATACTTAAGAAATAAGCATAATTCCTATTTAACAAAGTTATTTTTAAGCGTTTATTGTGATTAATGTCGGCAATAATTATCTTTAAAAGTGTGGTTTAATACCAATTGTTGGATGACTCTCTCCACCAAGGTAGTAAAACTTGTATCTTGACTTTCCCGATTGTCATACATGTACTTAACAAGCTTGGCAATTGTCTCTGTGTCTGTTTCAGATTCAAAGTCATAGCCCTTGCTTTCCTGTAATTAGAAAGGAAAAAATTTTGACCCATTCAAGGAAATATTCATAATATCTAAATCTTTTCTACACAATTTTTCCTCAAAAATCTCATTACCCAACTTCTAGTCTTTTTTTGACCACCACACCCTGAATACCCACTCTTTAAAATTAAGGTCACAATCTAATTACGGTGAATCCAAAATAGTGAGGTGACCAAACATACTTATAATTATATAAATCTATATATGTCATATATGAATTAAATACATTTTAAAATAATTAAAATACAATGAAATATATAACATTCACAAACCACTAATTCCATTATGAATATAATGATTCCTTCTTTTTTTTTAAATAAATTTATTTATTTATTTATTTTTTTTTGGTTGTGTTGGGTCTTCGTTGTTGCTGCGCGGGCTTTCTTTAGTTGGTCGAGTGGGGGCTACCCTTTGTTGCGGTGCACGGGCTTCTCATTGTGGTGGCTTCTCTTGTTGCGGAGCATGGGCTTCTACTTGCGGTGGCTTCTCGTTGTGGAGCATGGGCTCTAGGTGCACGGGCTTCAGTAGCTGTGGCACACGGGCTCAGTAGTTGTGGCTCGCGGGCTCTAGAGCACAGGCTCAGTAGTTGTGGAGCACGGCCTTAGTTGCTCTGCGGCATGTGGGATCTTCCCGGACCAGGGCTCGAACCCGTGTCCCCTGCATTGGCAGGCGGACTCTTAACCACTGTGCCACCAGGGAAGCCCATGATTCCTTCTTTAATGATGATATTTCACTGCCCAATACAATGGCCATTAGCTATATGTGGCTATTTAAATTTAAAGTGAAATAAAATTTCAAATTTAGTTCCTCATTCATCCTACCTCAACAGCCACATGTGGACAGTGGCTACCATATTGGGACAGTACATGTACAGAAAGTTTCCATCTCTGCAGAATGCTGAACTGGACAGCTCTGAGAAGTCACTCATGAAGTCATCATCATTACCATTACTATATACTACACAGCTATTTAGGGCATGGAGCCTTCATTCAATCTGTCTTGAGTCTTCTAACACCCTAGAATCTTTTAAAAATGACACGGTCTCTCACAATGCAAAGACATCCCCCCAAATTCCAATTTTATTTAAGCTTTTGGGTCATTTATAATCAAGCCAAATAATTATTTTCTTTTCATATAAGAAACAAAAAAGTTCTACTGTCAACAAAAAAAAGTCCAGTAAACCACCATATCCTTGTAACTGTCTTAGGAATTATTTGATCACATCGAGATAGGATTTACTGCACATCCCAACAAACAACCTCAATGCTCTCATTAGAAGTGTTCTTCAAAGACTGGTAGTCTTTTTAGGTCACTTTACTTACCAAAAACTTTTTCAAGTCTTTGTAGTTGGTGATGATTCCATTGTGAATAACAATAAATTCTAAAAGAGATAAAAGTATTGATGACCAAAAAATTATAGGTCTAATAAACACTATAAATTGCCATTACTATTAAGAGATTTTTCTCAAGTCAAAAAATTTGTTACATGCTATACTTTCAGCTGTAATCAAGTATTATTCACTTTTCATCATCAGATCACCCTCAGGTAGATCAGCAGCACAGTTCACATGTAGAAGCACACAGTGCTAAGAGGTGGGTATAGTGGGTTAATATAATAAACTGGAGTCTAGAGACATCAACTTCAGTTGTGGCTAAACTACCGGCCCAGTGCCACCATGTAAAAGAAGCAGGTTCCTTGGGCCAGTTTCCTCATTTGCAAAATGAAAGGGTTGAACTAAATAACTATTATTCTCACTTCTTTGTTCATTCATTCTTATGCATAAAACATTCCTAAGTTTAAAGAGAAAGGCTTCATCCAATTTACACTAAATGAGTTTAAAACCAAAGTTAAAGAATTGAGAAAAAACGGACACTCAGTTCTATAGTTTACTTACCTGAGGCCCAGAAAACTCCCAGAATGTCAGATAAACTAAAGTTAAAGAAGCATTTCAAGATCAAATACAGATGACAGTGGGATAATTTTCATCTTTTTTTGATTAAATAACTTTCAAAAATGTAAGAATGTGCAATCAGGAGTTGACAGTATTATTTGTAGCCACTGACAGTGTATGTAAAGTAAAGGCAACTAATGTGGATTTCTTATTTAAAGTTCACGTAAATCAGGAGAGAAATTACCACTAAATTCAATTTTATATCAAATTATCAACATGTTTTTTAATATACTTAAAGATCTGACATTAAGTGAGCTTGAACTGAATACGTTCATTACAAACCAAATGTTAAACACTTCACTAGATTTCTAAGAAAGAAAAGATACCACAAAATGATATTACAAAAATAAATCTTAAAATTTTAATGCTAGAACACAGAGAATCATAAATAGCTGATATAAAGCCTAAAATTAAAGCCAAATTCTCAAAATATAACATATAGTTTTTCAGAAATCTTTTATAAAGACCTTGCCAGTATTAAAAGTTTGAGTAGTTAACATTCTAATCCAATAATTATGTGAAGCATGAAAAACCTAAAAACGTAGCTACTGAATTAAACTACAAAATCTTACCTCAAAGGGATATATATACACACATACATACATATAACTCAAAAATTTTGTTAAATGTTTATATACAGGAAGAGATGGAATAAGGAAGAGGAAATAAGATAGAAGCTAGACTTATTTTAGTATGCCTTTTTTATAGGTATGACCTCAGAACTATGCAAATATTTTAAATAGTTTTAAATAAAAATTATTTTTTAAAGAAAATCAATTCCTAAAACTCAAAATAAAACATATTAACATAATGCTATACCCAGCTAGTAGAACAATTACATACAGAAGGATTAGTCCAAGTGACTCCAAAACATAGTAATTTGATTATACATCCCTAGAGAGATATACCCTAAGTACAAAAAAAATCAAAAACAGTCAACATACTGTTATGGTAGTGTTGACATTATGATTCCATTGTACATGTAGCATCTGATAGATCAAATAAGTATGTTGCTGGTGTTAAGAACTAAGTTTTCAAGTGTGACTGAAAAGAAATACATAAATCGATGAGGTTAAGTAAAAACCTTACAGCCCTGGATTTGAACTGAAAGTGTTAGTGTAAAATTACGTTGTGTTTTCTCTTTAAATTTATACATGCACATACACAGAGGTATATATATTTCCTAGCTCTGCTCACTGAAAAGACCTAGGTGCAATGGCACTTCTAAGACCTGGTTTAGTGTTTTTTTTTTTTTTTTTTTGGCAGTGCAGTATAGAAGTACATGGTGTTACTAGCTTGAGATAACAGAATTTTTAAAAGATGACCATTTACTATCAAGTAGCCTCATAACAGAAATGTATCTCAAGGTGCCAAGGCTGTAGAAAATATGCAGAATGGGATGGAGATTATTCTTGTGTTTAACAGGGCAAAAGAGTTAATTGCTAGCCCAGCACTATAACTGTACTTATTTGGAAAAAAACTGTTTTGTTTCAATGATGGTTTCATCTTTCATTTCTTTCAGCTGGGTGGGAAATAAAAGGACACATGCTTTCCTGAGTTTTACATGTTCTTGTTAATGCACGTTTTGTTTCAGCAGGCTGCCATCCATTAAGCCTGCAGGAGTCCTCCTGGGTATTACTGAATTGTGTTGTGTACATGTGTGCCTGAGAGCTTGTCTTCTTACAGCATTTAGTTGCTGTTTGCCTTTTTGTTGGATAAAATATTAGCAATGTATCCTTTCCATATTCCCTGCCGTCAAACCTATTATGATCCAAAATCCTCATCAAACATCTGGTTTTAGAACTTCGGAGATTGTAGTAAAAAAAAAAAAAATTCTTGGACAAACCATGCCCTCCGTAAGCATGGGCCTATGCTGAAACTTTCCCTCACAACTCTACATTTCTACTTCAAGTAACTGACCTTTCAACTCTACCCATTTAGAGGAACAAACCATGGAAAGGAGATACATATGTTTGCCCTCTTCCTATAGGCCTCATCTTCAAATTTTAGTTCTGTCACACAAGAAAATCTCACTCTGTCCCCTGTGTCCTTTTCTAATCTTGACAAAGAGGAAAGTTCCTTCTAGAGTTATCCATGCTCCTCAGATGTGCTGTGTGCGCTGTGCGGACTCCCAGTGAAGTGGAGGGTGAGAGCAGGCAGCAGACTCTAAGGCACTTTCCTCCACGTAGAATGGCAGGTTGTCCCTCCCCGCACTCTCCCAAGGAGATGACCTGATGCATCCTGGCTCCGTGTTCACACAGCTTGTCACTGCAGCAGAAGACACATCTACGCCTTCGTTATTCAAACGTGGGTGGTTCTCTAGCATGACTAAATAACATGGGAACAATCCATCTCTAAATAAATACTACTGTGCTGTTTCTTCTAGAGGTGCCTCTGCTGATGTATTTCTAAGCCATACCAGTCTTTCCAGTTTCAGTGGTGGAATGTGGCCCCCTAGTTACTGTTGGGGGTTACTTTAAGCATAAAGTAAACCCTTCTCCAACAGTTTCAAAATACTTGTGACTTCAGACATCAGTTCAGAGAGCTTACACTTTGTCGGCCTTCACCTGCTCCTTAATTCTCGACACTAGGAGGTGGAGTTATCAATGAGATCACAGAAGCTACTGCTGGAAAAGTTTGTAAGACAAAAAGTCATCACATGTTTCTTGACTGTCATAACTGAGCAATGTTTTCTGAGTCTGAGATGTAGGCTTTGGAGGAGTAATGGTAACAAGTTATCTAATTATCCAAGAGTCTGAAAGACCTCTCTGGAAATACAAATACATAACAAAGAGAGAAGACAGTTATCAGGGAGGATGCTTACTTACACAGTGTAACTTGGATCTGATTGTTCTCCTGGCACAAAGGAGCGAGTACTTTCAACAGGACATCTACATGCTAAGAGGTGGTATGGCAATTAATTTCAGGGCAAAACTGAATCAAGCATTCTATATTTTGGAAAAAAAACTTCATTTTTTTTTCATGGAAACTAGATACTCTTCTCTAGTTTACTGAATTTTAAAAATTGAAGATTCTGCATTTTTAAAAGGCCTTTTTACATGAAGTAGAATTTCTAATTGACAGATCTAGAAATCAATCTGAATTGGACAAACTATGGATTCAACAGGCAGATGAGATTTCCTCCTACGGTTACTTTGATGCAGATCTGATACCCACCCTCAAAAGAATCCTATAAAAAAATAGCTTCAAAACCCCTTTTTAATCACAATAGTGCAGCAAAACCAGAAGTAAACAACTGCCTGTTAACCTGTTATTTCAAATATCGACTGAAAAGCCAACAGGCATTTTTTTGTGCAACTTTTTAAAACACTGTTAAGTTGAAATATCAAATCTGCACGGCACTGTCCCCTCACAGAAGGCAAGAAACTGCCAGCACATCATGTGGGAGGCCGTCCTTGGTGCTGTCGGCCATGAAAGTGGGCCTCCTTCAGGATCTGGCTGAGGTGCAAGCCAGGGCCTTGGCACAAATGCAGACTGCCTGGCACGGGCTGGGGGTGCTGGCGCTGGGCCCAGCGATGAGGTGGTTTAAGCCACTTTCTGGCCCCCCGGCCCTGGCTATTGCCGCTGCTGCCGCTGCTGCTGCTCCCGCCACTATCACTGAGTGAAGACTCTGTGTCCCGGGATCGTGAAAGACAGGCTTTCTACTACTCCTTTTGGTCTGGGGGGGGAAGATGGTGGTCTTATTCATCGCCACCCCTTCTTTTCCTGGGGCGGAGGCGCTGGCTCACAGCAGCTGATGGAGCGGAGCGACGAGGCACCGCAAGAGGAGGGAGCAGAGGGCGCTGTGTTTCGGTGGTCGCCACGCCCACCGCCTCAGGCCTTGGCTCCGTGGTACCCACCGCTACTTCCAGCATCTGCTCCGGGCCCCCCATGTCGCAGCCACCACTGCACCCAGGTTTATAGTCTTTAATTATCGTTTCCACTGAAAGGAACTAGGACTCCTTAGAGAAATGGCTGATTCCAGGTTTGGGGCAGGATTAGATAAACCTGCAACATCTTGAACTACCAGAAAATAACAAAGACTACTGAGCCTACTTGGGTCACATCAAAAGGACTCAGGAGTCAACCTAAATAAGCTCCCAATGACTAAAGATGGGAAGTTTTGTGCATCAATACAGATAATTACTTCAGTGTTTTGAAACAAATGAAATTTTAAATCCATGAATTTATAATAATACAGTAATTATAAAAAGGAACTCTATTCACCTTAGAACATTAGAACCGCTTCATTTGGAAAATGGTAAATAAAGGGGAAAAAAATCAACCATTTATCTTGCCTTTCCTATACAATCTGTACATCAGGGTAATCAAGTGGTTAATATGGAGAAGTTTCTCTTTATAGAAGTATTTTAGATAATAAATGACGAAGGAAAGATTGTATTAGACTATCACCATTTTATAACCCCTAAAGAAATAATTAATATTGGCAATGATTATCAATGACCTAACACAAAAAGAAAAACATCCAAACATTACAGGTACAAACAAATACCATACCAACTTATAACAAATAGAAGGGACAGAGAGTCATGTGAAATGACACCACAGGATGCATGCCATTAGCAAGATCTAGACTGTAGGAAACTCTACAGGACAAACAATAGAGTAAACTGCAAGGAAGAAAGGAGAGAAAAGGAAAAGTCTCTTAGGAGACTTAGGAGATAAATCAATCTACGAAGTCCTTACCTTTTAGAGATACACACTTACATAATTACTAATTCAATGCTATGATACCTAGTTATCTGTGATATATCTATCTATATGATACCTATTGGCTTCCAAAATAATCTGGGTGGGGTACAGAAAAATATAACTGATTATGTATTGATAAATGTTAAAGCTGGGTGATGGATATATCAGGTTCTGTATGCTCTCTACATCTGAATATGCTTGAAATTTTCCATATTAAAATAATGAAAACAGAGTTTTCATTCTTCTATTATTGGCCCTCTACAAACACTCCAGAGCATGTACAGTCTGTCCATACCATTATTTTTATCAGAGCGCTGGGGATGGCTATTGACAGGATTGGGTTCGCCATGCGTTGCCCAACGGGTATGAGCTATTCCAAGGTGTACATCAAATTCTATATCCAAATCCATATCTTGTTGTTCTGAAAAAGAGAAAATAAAAAACTTCAATATTAAATCATGCTGTAGAGATAATGCTATAAGCTAAAGTTAAATGTAATTATTACAGTTCTGCTCACCTGGAATATATAATTATTGAAACTGAAGATCAGGCATATTCAAAACAGTAATTAAAAGACTTACAGGAGTTAATGCTGCTGAAATATTTAGGGCAAATGGTTCCAATAACAACCAAAAAAATGTATACAAAGAGACAAAGCATATGTGACAAAATGCTAACAACTGGTAAAACTAGATGAAGTATATGGATGATTAATGTACTATTCTTTCAACTTTTCTAGAGGCTTGAAAATGGTCAAACTTATGGTCAAAAAGAGTTAAGGTGATTTTTAAAAATCTGTATTTAATCCTTTCCTTGAAAAAAATCAGTATCATTTTCATTAGACATGTAAAAAAATTCATTTTCTCGGGCTTCCCTGGTGGCGCAGTGGTTGAGAGTCTGCCTGCCGATGCAGGGGACACGGGTTCGTGCCCCGGTCCGGGAAGATCCCACATGCTGCGGAGCAGCTGGGCCCGTGAGCCGTGGCTGCTGGGCCTGCGCGTCCGGAGCCTGTGCTCCGCGGAGGGAGAGGCCGCAACAGTGAGAGGCCCGCGGACAGAAAAAAAAAATTCATTTTCTCAATGCCACACAACATTATGACTGCAATTTCTTTGGTCCCCAGTGAATGTAACCATATCTCACACCATAAACTGCAATTATGAAGAGCTTGCATAATCAAAAAATAGTCCTTGAGAACAAAGCAGCACTATGAAAGTATGAGGTTATGGGCTGATGCTCCTCTGTCTTGCAAAGCAGCTATTCTAATTCCTTCTCCTTACGAACTCTCTCTTCTTCCTTCCTCCAGGGAAAAGAAAAACCAAACAAAAAAAAGAGTTCTAGTATAGCATCTACCAGTAACGTCTCCTTCTAATTTCCTAAATAGAAATTTCATTTGGCTAAGAAACCAGAAAACAAACCTTATCAGAATTAGGTCTAAATTAAGAGCAAAATGCTCAGAAGTGTGAACAGGAAAGTCCACTCATTTTAGTACATAGTCTTTGTAGATTTTATCCTGGTTTAAACAGAGGTCATCCTAAAATACAAATCTGATAAAGAAACAATGCTTAAAATCCTTAAATAAACTTCCAGTTCCTTAAAATGTGGTTTGCTGCCCTAGCTACCCATATGAATCATCCTAACATACAACCAGAGAACCATTTTCTCACAAGATAAAGCCCCAACACCTTTTCATGGTATACAAAGGCCCTTCACCATCTGGCCCCCACCTACCTTTCCATCCTTCTCTCCCAACCCTCTCCAATCACTCCTCGAAGCTTTCAATGCACCTTTTACAAATAACAACAGCTAACATTTATGGAGAACTTACTCTGTGCAAGGTACTACAGACATCTCCCCACTCTATCCCTGTCACTGTGGCCTAAGCCTCCATCATCTCTATATGGACTACTAAACAGAATCCTAACTGGTCGCCCTGTGTCCAGTCTTCCTCTGTACAATCTAACCAAAGTGATCCTCTCAAAACAGAAGTTAGATCACGTCAGTCCCCTATGCAAAATGTTCCAGTGGCTTCCCACGACACACAAAGTAAAATCCATCATTCTGAAGACCCTCCATGACCTAGCCGTCAGCCTCCTCTCTAGCCTCATCTCCTGCCACTCTCTCCCTCACTTACTGAGCTCTAGCCCCACTGACTTCCAGCTATAAGCAGGCCAAACCCACACTGAATCTACACACTTGGTGTTCCCTCTGCCTAGAATTCCCTTCTTCAGACAATCACGTGATCTCTGCTCAAATGTCATCTCTACCATACTTTTTCTTCATGGCACTAATCACTACCTAACGTTATTTATCGTTTGTCATCTGGCCCTCTCACTAGACAGTAAGCTCCATCTGGGCAGGGAGTTTGCTTATCTTTTCTTTGTCCTAAGGGCTTAGAACAATGGCTGGTATATAATAGGTACTCAATAAATATTCATTTTGTTATTGAATCCTCACAGTACAATTAGGTACTGTTAGGTACAACTGTCCCCATTTTATAGATAAAGAAACTGAGGCTTCAGGAGGTCACAGAACCTGCCCTAGGTCACAACTAATAGGAAACAGAGACAGGATTTGAACCCAAGAGTGCTTGACTCCAGAACCTAAGACTAAAACCACAATGTATACTCTGCCGTACTATTATAACATTTATGACGTGTTGTCTACCTGGCTTCTGCCAGAATTTAAGATCTACAAAGGTAGCAGCTTGTCTTATTATCTTTGAATTGTAAGCACTAAGCTGTATAGGACAGATACTCAAACTTTTGTTGGGTAGTTCAATCAATGGATAAAGTCATCAATGTATTCTTTTCTGGCTTAACTGTGTTCTGAAAAATTAAGGCAACCTGATAAATGACCTCCAGAAAAGTAAGGATTTCCATTTATTACTACTTAACACGCAATGCAAGCAGTGAAAACATTTGACTAGTTTTTTGGGTTAACTATAATTAAAAGCAGTATGTGCCCCCACTTGCTGGCAAGAGAAAGTACACTGGAGAAAGCAACAAGAGTCTATAAAATGAACTCATTTCAAATTCACGGTAATTACCATACCTATTTCACTGTTGCCAAAGGAACATTATCTAATGACTAATAAGAAAAAGATCATTGCTATGACAACACGCATATTCCCCGCAAGAAATATTGCATGTTTTATAAATTAATCAGGGCTCCAATCCTGACTCTTCCTATCCACTGTTACTCCATTCTAAAGCCCCTTGTTGAACCTTAAGTCTAGATAACGCTACACTCAGTTTTCTCTCCCCCACCTGCCACAAGCTGCCAAGCAACACTGAAGAAAGTCAAGAAATTCTGTAAATTGAGTCCATTTCAAGTTCATGGGTAATTATCAAATCTATTTAACTGCTGCCATTTAAGGAACATGTATCCATGTTCCCTATTCACTAAACTGAGAACTCATTCAATTCCCCAACAGCTCATGACATTTTTTATACTCTTTTTAAGCCTCAATCCTACCTATATAGTCCCTCAATCGACCTTACTCAGGTTTCCCCTTCACCTCATAACTCTGTTTTAATTAGCTTTTCTTTTCCCGTTAACTCCTATAAAGGCTAACTCCCCACCTGTGCCTTGACCTTTCTGAGCTGTAACGCCTCAATAATTTCCTTTCTTGCATCTTCTGTCTTCCCCCCACCCTTATTACTCCCAAGGTTCCTTGCCCTCTGTGTACCTATTCTCAGATGTCATCTTTCTTTTTTTTTTTAATAGTTCAAACATATTTAATTTGCTGGTAATGATGAAACACTCAAATACCTACACCCAGATAACAAATGTTAACATATAATCATTTGTGCTTTACATCTTTAAGACATAAATTATTTAAAAATTCTTTACTTGTCATGCCCTAGAACAGCAGCCCTCTTCTGCCTTTCCTCTGCCCCCAAACTTCACTGCTTTTACTGCTGACACCATCTAATGTCAGTACCTGCTCCTCTGAGCTTCAATTTTCTCATCTGCAAAATGAGGATGATAATTTCACCTACTTCATGGGTTATGACGAGGACTATATAGAAGGCACCTAGTAGAGTGCCTGGGACACAGAAAGCAATCAATAAATGTTAGCAAGTATTATCAAAGTCAGGAGCTACCAAAAAGCAATCTAATGGTCTTCTCTGAGATGTCTTCCTTCCTTTTTGTCTTAAGAGGTTAAACACTAAAACTTGCTGGGAATAATAAAATAAACATCACAAACATCGAAATAACCACACTCCGACTTAACAAATGCTAACGTCTAACCATTTATGCTTTAGATCTTTTTTAAACCCTGAAATGTGGGCTTCCTGGTGGCACAGTGGTTGAGAATCCACCTGCCAATGAAGGGGACAAGGGTTCGAGCCCTGGTCCGAGAAGATCCCACATGCCGTGGAGCAACTGAGCCTGTGCGCCACAAATACTGAGCCTGTGCTCTAGAGCCCACGAGCCACAACTGCTGAAGCCCACGTGCTGCAACTACTGAAACCCACGTGCCTAGAGCCCGAGCTCTGCAACAGGAGAAGCTGCCGCAGTGGGAGGCCCACGCACCACAGTGAAAGGTAGCCCCCGCTCCTCGCAACTAGAGAAAGCCCACGCGCAGCAACAAAGACCCAACGCAGCCAAAAATAAATAAAAAATAAATAAACCCTAAAATGTAAAAAAATGCAGTTGGTGCCTCCTTTACACCTTGCTCCATCCCTTTCCTCAGAGGATTCACAAGAGCTTTCCCACCTATGCCTTCAAATTTCTATTATGCTACTATATTCATAAATTATAGTGTTCTTTTTAATTTAAATGGTACAATACTTTGCATATCCTCCTCTAGGCTGCTTTTTTCACTCAACATTAAGTTCTCAGAAATTATGCATGTCCCCACATGCAGAACCAGATCCAGTACACATCTTTCAAAAGCCACACATGGTCATTCACTATCACATACAATTTATTCCAGGTTGCTTCTAAACTTTGCTGCAATGCATCTTACTTTCATGTCTCCTTGTCATAGTGTTTCTTTCGAGTACCTGCCCAAGAGTGGAAGTGCTTGGCCACAAGGTATAGGCATCTCCCATTTAGACATTGCCAGATTGCTCTTCCAAGTGACTCATCAGTTACAAACTCACCAGCACTGTCTCCAAGTGACCCATTCCAGAAAAGGGGTCACTTTCCTGCAGGAGGAGGCATGTTTCAATATGGTGACATTCAAAGATGGTGATTCTGGTCACAATCTGCCTTTCTAGCCTCGCACTCATCTACCAACAAAGTAGATTAAAAGGACTACCTACCATTCCATCAAACTTGCTTTCCCTATTCTTATCTTTTTCCAAGCTAATCTACTCAGAAGGTCCTCCCTTCTCACCTCCACTGCCCAAATATAATTAGCAGCCATTCCTTAACGTATCCCAAGTCTTCCTAACTTGTGGGAACTAGCTCTCCCCTGAATCTTAAACCAATCTGTTTATTCTCTCCTGTAGAACCTACTATAATCAGCCTGGTAAACAGGATGCAATACACACATTAGACCAAATATTTATAACCACAGTTTTTGAAGTGTAGTTTTTGGGGTGTCTGCTTTATCCCAAGCTAATCTTACCCACAATACATAAAAAATAAGTACTGATTTAATTTGTTAAGTACAGTTGACCCTTGAACAACACGGGGGGTTACGGGTGCTGACCCACCCAGCAGTTGAAAATCCGAGTATAACTTATAGTCAGCCCTCTGTGTCCAAGGTTCCACCTCCATGGATTTAACCGACTGTGGATGGTGTAATAATGTAGTATTTACTATTGAAAAAAAATTCACATATAAGTGGACCTGAGCAGTTCAAACACGTGTTGTTCAAGCATCAATTGTACCACAAGGCTAAATGTCTGGCTTATGTGAAAATTTAAAATGACTAAATCCATCGTTCTCCTCTTCCACCTGCACTTCTTTACAAGGATAACAATGGCATCCATTTGAGCCGGTATATAAAAAACCTACTGTTTTCTGGGTTTTTTGTTTTTTTGTTTTTTTGTGTTTTTTTTTTTTGCGGTACGCGGGCCTCTCCCGTTGCGGAGCACAGGCTCCGGACGCGCAGGCTCAGCGGCCATGGCTCACAGGCCCAGCCGCTCCGCGGCATGTGGGATCCTCCCGGGCGGGGGCACGAACCTGTGTCCCCTGCATCGGCAGGCGGACTCTCAACCACTGCGCCACCAGGGAAGCCCTGTTTCCTGGGTTTTTAGAGGATTTTTTAAAATGTTTTTTCAATCTACTTCAAAGTTTTTGTTTTGTTTTCAAGTTTCCTGTGAAAAAATAAAATGTATAAACATAATGTAATGAACTAAATACTGTAAAGTATACCCTCTTTAATGGAACATGTATCTCTGGCAACTATTTTATGCCAGGGAGGTAAGAAAATCATGAGGGAAAAATATGATACCTGATTGTATCAGACCTACTAAAAGGTGCAACATCCAGACTGACCACACATCCAAACTCAGCGTTTGGTCCAAAGTGAAGACAACCACCAAGTGAAGACACACGAACAAGGGCACCACTGAAAATACCTTTTGTCTTATGAAAGGCCCTTCCTCAGGAATGATGGCTACTTCATTTTAGGATATTAAGCTTGCTCTGAACACAAGGCACATAATTAAGTTCCTTCTCTAGTTAATATCATTTTTTGAAACTGAGGGATATTAAAACCAGTACAGATAGTATCAAAACTACTTTTCTTCCCTCCCTTCCACTTTAAAAATCACTATTCTCAAAATGGGCCCCAAAATATGGGAGGAAAAGTAATTCGGTAGAGGGAAGGGAGAAGGAAGAAAAGCGGAGGGGGCTCAAAAACCAGACTAAGTACATTACTGTGAACTTCTTCATCCAGCGCCTTAACTTTGCCTTTCTTCTTAATGAGCTGGATTTTGCAGGCATTGGCTTCCCAGTCTTTGTCATTGCCTCCATCAATCCCCACACCTAAATCACCGAGAGGTAGAAAAGCAAGATTTAGAAACTGACTACTACTTAGATTATCACTGTAAGGCAAAACTTCTAAGGAAAAAAAATTTTTTTTCATCTAATTAGTTCACTTACTTATCAATTCAAAATTTACTGAAAACCTATTATATGTCAAAAACCATGGTACCTGCTAGAGATAAAAATGAAGAAAACTCATCTCCTGTTCTTAAATTTCTCAATAGTCGATTGAGAAGACAGACAAGGAAAAAAAATAATTACAATACAGTGTGGTTTTAATATAATAAAAGTTATGTGGTTATAATAAAAGTACTACAGGTTGCAACTGAAGTACAATGGAGAAACGAAGAAGACGGGCACCCACTGCGGAAGCAGGGTAAGGAGAGAATGTCAGGGAACACATCTCTCAAGATTCCACTAAAGTTCCTACGTATTTGAAAAAATTACTCTGAAGATACTGGAAAAGCACTGAGTAGTTTCAAGCAGAGAAATTACATGGCGAAAAAGTTCAGAAAACTCCCTTTGGAAAGAGAGTAAAGATTGGAGGAGAGAAACAGGAAGAAGAAACCTGCTGTGAGAAGTTACACCTACAGCAAAGCAAAAATGAGGAAGGCCTGAGCTACACAATGGTCAAGAAGAGATGAGTGATACTGAGAAGCAGAACTGACTGCAGGTAATGTGAGAAAGCAGGAGATGTCTGGGACACCTCCCAGGCTCAAAGGACTTGCTGAACGACTGACTGTTGATAAAAGAACACAGAAAGAACAGAGTGAAGAGTGGAGGGAGAAATGGAGCATATTCAGTTCAGTTCTGCACATGCAAAGTCTATAATATCATGGTTTATCCAGGGAGAAATTTCTAGGAGGCAGCTGGAAATACAGGTGTGCAGCACGGGAAATACATCTGGATTGTAAGTCACAACCATACAGGAGGTTGAGACTTCTCTGGTGGTCCGGTGGTTAAGAATCCGCCTTCCAATGCAGGGGATGTGGCTCCAACCCCTGGTCGGGGAACTAAGATCCCACGTGCCGCAGGGCAACTAAACCCACGCACGGCAACTAGAGAGAAGCCCGCAACAAAGAGCCCACACTCCTCAATGAAGACCCAACGCGGCCAACATAAAAATTAAAAAAAAAAACATACAAGAGGTTGATGAAGTCAGAGCTCACCCACGAAAATACAAAATAAGAAAAGTGGGCCTATGAAAGTATCTTGAAGAACATTAATATAAGTTATAGGTGGAAGAAAAGAAGCCCCCAAAGCAGACAGAAAATAATCAGCGTGTTAGGAAGAGAATGAGAAGATGCGCTGTCAGAGAAGCTGAGGAAAGAGAATTTTAAGAACAAAGGAGTTGAGGAATTGACTTTCCATTAACTGAGGAAGAGTCATGGAAGATAAATGCCCGTTACAACCAGGAATGTTGAGTGTACAGAAAAGAGTTAATATGGCAGGCCCAAGATTGCTGTCTTAGAAAGGCCTGCTTGGTAAAGTTGGCCATTGGCTGGCATCTGTGAACTTGGATTTCAGGAGGGTTCCCACCACAGTAACTGATTAAGTATGGCTTACTGCACCTACACTGTTGGTGCAAACAATGTGGCTTATGCTGAATGTCTGCTTCCCTTCTAGAAGCCTGGAATTTTGGCACATGTTAGGCAGAGGGTATCTACATGACCAGCCCCCAGTGACAGTCTTGGGCACTGAGTTACTAATGAGCTCCCCTGGTATACAACATTTCACACATTTTGTCCAGCTCACTGGGGGAACTGAGCATATCCTGCATGACTCCACAGGGAGAGAATCCTGAAGCTTATGTCTGCTCTCCTCCAGACTTCACCCCACGTACCTTTTCCCTTTGCTGATTTTGCTTTGCATTCTTTTGTTGTAATAAATCATAGCCATGAGTACAACTATATGCTGAGTCCTCCTAGGGAATCACTGAAACTGGGGATGGTCTTGGGGACCCCTGATACAGTTAAGGGAAGAAGCTGGAGTAGAACATAAAGTTGACAAAAAGTTATTTTTATCTGCTTTGTTGTTTACCTAAGATAGAAGAATCTTGGGCAAGTTCACATGCCAAAAGCATGGAATCCATGGAGAAAAAGAAATTAAAAGTTACAGGAAAGAAAAAAAAATGTACAGAGTAAGGCCTTAAGAACTCTGTTTTATAATGAAAATGCCCCATGTGATTTGTTTTTATGGCAACATTCTTAGCAAAAGAAGACACCCGTAAGAAGCAATATTCTACATAAATGCTAATGCTGCTGAAATTGCATGAACAAACCCTTTAAACATGATAAAAGCCAAAAATTCTTCAGATTTTAGATTTACCAGAAACAACAAAATGAACATTATAAAGAATCTAGTAACCTAAAACAAACAAAAAACCCTTTCTATTTATTCAAGAATCATGCAACACCCATAATATTTTTTTAAAGGAAATACCAGCAGAATCATATCCTCTGTACTCCAGTCTCTGAAGGCCTTTGATTAGGGTCTCCAAAATTTCTCGTCTCGTGCGAGGAACATGGTAGTTTAAGTAAGCAAATATACCTGCAAATAAACAAATATTTAATAGAAAATTCTAACTAGAGAATCAACATTGGCATAACTATGACAAAAATCTTAATTTTCATAATAATGTCTAAGATGTGCAAAAACGTGAAGCTACAGTCCATCTTTAAAAAAGAAAGAATCTTCACTTCAAATTATTCAAAGGCAGTGAAACTTTTTCAAAGCGGAATTTCTTGTAAGTATAAAAGACTGAAGCAAATAAGTCAAAATAAATGTTTAGTTTTTTCAAAGCCGTTTATAAGACCGTTCACTTACCTTCCATCACTGACATTTTAACAACTAAAATTTAATGCTTCAAAACTAACCAACAAATTTGGGGTTTATGGCCTATATACTGAGCATTATTTTTAAAGGAAAACATTTTCTGAACTAAGTATTTTAAGCAATATATGGACCCTCCAAAACTATACAGATGAAATAATTTTTCTTACTTTCAACGACCATGCTATCAATACATTTTAGGAATAAATAACTTATAAATAGCAATGATGTGAAGAATACTCATAATCTAAATAATTTAATCATAGAGGAAAATGGGCTAAAAATATATATAATCATCGTAAGACAAATGGTTTCTCACTTGTTCACCATTAGTAAGGGACAAATAACCATAATACATGTTAACAACTCTTGAGAATTCATAGAAAAGGAACAATCATTTGGAAAAGCAAAACTATAAATAAAGGGACTTGTACAACAAGAACTGATCCAGAAGAGCAAAGAGGCAGTAGAACACAGGTAAAGGAAATCCACATTTCAGGAATAGCAGCATGGAAATTGTCTGAGGTCTTCCATGATTGTGCTTTGGCCAGGGTGGATATAGCTAAAATGTATAAAAACTGAAAATCAAAATATAAAGAAATATAAACTCAAGTTGCTTATTTATGAAAGAACTTTCTTTTTTCTTAACTATCTTACACTATAATGCCACTGATTATTAAGGGGATTAATTCTGTGGGGCAGAACTCTGGAATGACCAGTTTTCATTTCATTTGAAAAGGTATCTTTGTTTCTATAAAGAGTTTGGTCTTATCAAAGCATTTCAGCATACAAAAACATCACATAGCTAATATTTGACAAAAAAGCCACCATTAACGTGTATGCTGATCACCATGATGAGTACAGTGCAATTTTCTCAATCATGCCTTTCAAACAAAAAGGAAATGACATTTTAAAACTAAAATCCAAAACAACCTGAACCAACAGTTTGAACTTTCCCAAAAAAGGTGGTACAAGGCCAGACTTATAGAAATCCTATATTCATTCATATTTTAAAAAATTATAATTGTAAAGATCTATTAAGTTATCATGCACTGTACAAGCATCTCACTTTCACTGCACCACAACACTGCATGAGGTCTGGGGGTTTTGTTGTTATTGTTGGTCCTTAATAAAGTACCTGTAATATGAAAAAACTAAACCAATAACCCAATTGTAAATCAAACTTTTATGTGTTCTACCCTTTTCCCCCCATGGGTCACTGACCTTCGATAAAGATTAAATGCACACAGAAAACTATCAGCCCCAAATAAGTATTCTATTAGCTCATTAATGGACAATACACAGAATATAAATATTTTCCCAAAATAAAACTTTAAATGCACTAAAAGAGGAACTTCCCTGGCGGTCCAGTGGTTGAAGACTCTGCGCTTCCACTGCAGGGGGCATGGGTTCAATCCCTGGTCAGGGAACTAAGATCCCGTATGCCGCGTGACGTGGCCAGAAAGAAAAAAGGAAAAAACAATGTGCTAAAAGAACACTGATTCTCAACTAGCCTACTCTCCATCACTGTGATTAGCATCAGCTAAATAATCTGCTAAAGGAGGATACAATCTAATTCATCTGAAAATCATTAACTAATACAACATATTATTACACTGTCAAAAATTCTTTGCAGGCTGAGGTCTCTGGAAAGCCTTGAAGATGAAGTCCAAATCCCAATAATGCAGCACATCCAGAAAAATTCACTACTAAATATCATTTCTCCCTTTTTTTTAAGAAATGTAATTCCTTTTTTTTGAGATTTTTTTTTTAATTGAAGTAACATTGGCTTGAACATTATATGCTTCATGTATATAACATCATATTTCTACTTCTATATACCCTGCATACTCTGTTCTCTGTTACTACATTCTTGGTTTTTTCTGATTTGGTTTGTTCATTTAAAGAAATGTAATTCTGGAATCCCCTGGTGATCCAGTGGTTAGGACTCTGTGCTTTCACTGCCGAGGGCGCAGGTTCAATCCCTGGGAACTAAGATCCCACAAGCCTCGCGTTGCAGCCAAATAAGAAAAAGCAAAAGCAATTCTGATGGTAAAAGTAATACATTCAGAGAATTAAAGATTAAATATAATCATCAAATACCAATTTTTAAAGCAATTTAAATGCTAATGACAAAAAACAACTGTTTTTAAGACAAGTTGTAGACTCAACACATTTTTACAAGAAAATTCAGAGTGATGCAATATTAAATTCACTATCTTCAATACATGTAATTCAACAACAGCCTTCAACTTTGATATTATTTCTAACTTCAGTCTCCCTGGTTTACATTAGCTTATTGTGTGAATCTTGAGACCCTGAGTACAATTTTATAGGGAAAAAGGTATTCTCTAAATCAGTAT